ATCCTCGGTAATGGAGGCAATTAAAATTGAAGAATGTTATCCGAACGGAAAATGCGTTTCAGGTTATGCATACGACAATTAATACAGAACTCTTAAGGAGAAGATTAAACCTGAAAAGTTAATGTTTATAAAACATTTGATGGAATAAGATATATCAACAGCTAGTACTGGAAATGGATAGCTCAAAGAAACGAGTTTCTCATGCAGTCATTGGGAAACAATACATAAAATTTGGAATAAATTAATAACACAATGCACGTTTTACAGTTTCTTAATCGTCATTAAAATGCAACTACGCAAAATTTGTTAAGGATTGGAGTTATATTTGACAGGAAACAACTACGGAGTCAAAGTATTTTTTTGCCGCCCAACTGGTATAGCGTCGCTGACTGTCCTACCAAAAGGTCTGTGCTTGAATTCCGGAGAAGGCATGGATGTTTGTAAATGTATAGTGTCTGTGCGGCATGGGGGCACTGTGCGGCATGCGGCGAGTGCTCTCGAGAGGTTGTTGGTAGGGAAAGAGGAGTGGGAGACACTTGGATCCGTCCCCCCCCCGAGGTGCTTTAAATCAAAATTTGGGGCGGAACTGAGCTGACTGAAACGCAGTCGCATGGACCTCCGACCTAAGGTTCTACACCAATCAGAGTTATATGTCCATGCGACGGAAAAGAATCTACCATCCACCGCCAGCGGCAATCACTGAATCAATGATAGCAATATTACAATGCTCAATTGACAATGTCATCTATACAATAATTGTTACATAATAATCCGTATGAAAAATAAACATACGATCAATTAATCATTACATTGTCATGGATAGGATCTATGTTGTGGAGAGTGGAACTTGTATATTAACCAGTTTTTAAATCTATGTCTTCTTCAATACGTCATAACTTCATGTTCTTATCAGTTACACACCTAATGATGTGTGTCCCTATTATTTGTAGCAGTTATCCACAGAGTAGGCCAGTCACATCAGTTCAGGCAGTTGATAGTTCCATAGCCCAAAGTATACGATGTTGGGTAGAATATTCAATGTCCATATAAACTGAATTCTAAGTTAACTTTTGATAAATTCGAAGTACACTTTTGTTAAGTTCATTGTTCAAGTAAATACTACTTGTCCACTTCGATACATCATAACTTCGTGTCCTTAACAGTTTGCACACCTCATTATGTGTGTCCATAGCAATTTGCACACTGTGTCGCAATTATCCCCAAGGCAATCACGAAATTGCAGTTGAGAAGTTCATTGTAATATGTACACTATTTTACTTTTATCCACACAAAGCAAATGTTTTGTAAATAATGACTTGACTCCCATATAAAAAAAAGGAAGGAAACTAATTCTTAAAATTTTCAATACAACTCTAAATTGTGCAAAACTACAGATTTGTTAAACAGTTCCAGTCAATACAAATTGACTGGTAATTCCAACAATATAAAGCACATATTCTAAAATAAAACGTCTAATGGAAAACAGGAACTAATTCCCAATTAAAATAGACATAAAATACATAATTATTCAGCACATATTATATACCAATCATCATAACATAAAAATTCACATGTTTCAAATGCTGCAACTAATTTTTTATTACAGTTAGAATATGAACTGAGCTGACTGCAAAGTGTCAAGGCTGTTGCCAACGGCATGCGAAATCTTGCGCTCCTTGCCACGAGGAATTCCGTGGGCTTGGGCAGACAAGTGACCAACAACAATAGCAAGTATTGATTGGTTGGTTTGTAAGGTTTATGCTAAGTTTATAACAGTAGTTTTTAAGTTTATGTACCTTTCCTATCTTTCCTGGCTTCAGCTTACAATTTCTTACCAGAATGAGTTTTTAGGACCACGTTTAATGCAAATCAGAAGGAGTGGTATTTAAGCCGAACTTCCACTGACTTCGAGAGAGTTTTTGGACTAGAGCGCGTTATCCTTTTGGCTACGTCTCTCTAAGCATGTTACTACGTTCGGCCGTATTACGTGCCCTTGATCGTTTAGCTATATAATTCGATATTAGGGGCCAATTACTTTAGATTTGTGTTAGCTTCGGCTAAATCTCTTTAGTTACTCATTAGTTAGTTCTTATTTCTTTTACTTTTAAGCCTAAGTGAAGGCTTCGCTGTACGTCTCCAACTCCAACTTGCTTTATTTGCCGCGATTAACCTGCGAAATCGCAGGTTGTGTTCCGGCTATCGAACTTTGGTGCTTCTAAGAGCGCTGCAGGTAAGGAAATGCCGAACGTAGTTCTCGTGGAGACAGGATAGCAGATGCAGGTGGTGTGACCAATGTCACGTGATGAGCGATAAGTAATCTGGTTGGCGATGAGGTATCCAGGCATCGTAGCGCTGTAAATCTGAAGGTTTACAATAGTTATACATAAAATACTACTAAATCAGTTCAAAAAAGGTGTATGTTGCAGTCATACATGCAGAAAATAAAATACGATTCCAAAAAGTAAAATAGTATATACAGAAGGAGCCAACTGTATATCTTATTTTTGAGCAATAAAGGGTGATTAACCCTTCTTGAGTTTACGTTTCTATTTCTGAACTTGAGCTATTATTCGCTTAGCTGTTCATTACGTTGCTCAACACTTGGTTAATAGATAAAAGTGAGGAACCCTACAGATTAATTAAATGAGGGAAAGCATATCAGGTCTGTCTACCGAAAACAAGGGACGTCTTCGCGAAGAGCTTTTTAAGAGGGTCAGGCACACATTCATTTTGCATAGCGGTAAAAGGCCATGAAAATTTCCATGCTTTCGGTTGCATTTTGAACCCGTGTTCCGAGGTCCATTGATGGTCGGCCATTTTTATCATGGCAGAAGTCTAAAGGGGAATGATTGCCCTCTTGGTAATGAACCGTTAGAAATATTTTTTATTGCAGCAAGGGATAAGAATAAACTTAAATAACAATTTCATACTAAATATAGAGATTTCAAGCAGAACCAAACAACCGGCGTTCAGAGTGACTTTGATCTTCAGTGGAGACAGCCAACGTAGACAACATAGGCTGTTGCTGCTGATGCTCACTTGTCTGACCAAGCCCACGAAAATCCTGAGCACCCGGGAGGGGGACGGGTCCGAGGGTCTTCCACCTCCTTCTTCTCCTACCAACAACCTCTCGAGAGGACTTTTGGCTCGCCTCATATTTACAGTGCCCCCAAGCCGCACGGACACTATACATTAAATTTACAGTTTCAAACACTATACATTTACAAACATCCATGCCTTCTCCGGGATTCGAACCAAGGTCCTTCGGCGCGCTAACGGTTTGGGCAGCAGAGAGCATAATTGATGCACAGTAGCGTTAAATACTGCTTCCTTTAAGGGGTGTTGGAAACCAAAAATCTTCAAAAAATTGTGATTTCGGATTTTTGCATTTTCAAATTCTCTACACTTTTATCTTTCTAAAAATACAATTATTTAATCTCTATGAAAATTAGAACAGTAAAAAAAATCTAGTTTTAATTTGACATCGAATGCTACCGGGATTGATGTCAGTAGTTAACTTTTAGTTTTATCTCGAACAGTTTTCCACTTCTAGCTTTCAAATCACTGAGTTTGTTGAAGAAAAATTTGTTAAATTTGTACAGAATGTGAAATAAATCAAAAAATAATTCAAAATTCGGATATCGAGGTGTCCATGTTCGTGGAGGACTGCGTGTGTTAAGAAGTTCGATATCTGTACGTAAGGAGAATCCGTACGTAACAATTTCATACTAAATATAGAATTGATCTTACTAAATATAGAATACTAAATATACTAAATATAGAATTTCATATTTAATATGAAATTCTACATTTAAATACTAAATATAGAATTTCATTCTAAATATAGAATTGATCAATGAAGATTTTTATAAATGAAAATTCTACGCTGGCGCCCGAACTAAAAGGTAATCGACGATGATTCTTCACTACCAGGATTTTGCGATTCGGACCTCTAATCTCCAGTCACCCTTTAAAAGGGGGAGTATGTAAAGTATTTACTCCCTTCTTCTAGCGTGCCTTCGTGGTTAGCACACTCTGCGCGTATTCGGGAGATTCAGGTTCGAGTCCCGGAAGGACATTGAACATTTCTCACTTCTTCAACATCAAAAAATCTTAATGACTTTACAAATTGTCAAAGATATCGAATTCTGAGCACATTTGTTGCCAAAGAGAATAATAAATTGAAAATAAAAGCAGAGATTTACATATTATTTTAAAAATATCTCGTTTCTAAAATCTAGAATTAATTTACGTGTTTTTAAACTGATTAAAATTTTCAGTTGTAGAGACATTAGGATTTTTGCAAAAGCCATAGGGAGGAAAAATTAGCAACCGCCTTCGCCGGGAATGGAATCACGGACCTCTGGAATACCAGTCCAGCGTGCAGAACCACTACACCACGAAGGCACGCTAGGGAAGTGGGGAAAATACCTTATATACTCCCCTTTTTAAAGGGCGACTAGGGTTTTAGGGGACCTAGTCGCCAAATCCTGGGTGCGGAGAACCATCACCCACAACCCTTTTAGTTCGGGCGCCACTGTAGAGACATTAGGTATTTTTTGGAAAAGCTGGAGGGATGAAAAATTAGCAACCGCCTTCGCCAGAAATAGAACCACGGACCTCTGGAATACCAGTCCAACGTGCAGAACCATTACACCACGAAGGCACGCTAGGGAAGTGGGAGAACTACCTTATACAGTTAAAGGAATAGATTAAAAAAAGAAAGATAGAAAGAAAAGGAAGGAAAAGAATGATAACAGCTTCGGTTTTCTAGAATTGTCCATAATGAACCTTGATTAACTTTAATTTTATGAAGTTTTATAACAATATATATTTTTAATAGTTTCAGTTGCAGTGTATAATGACATAAAATAACTGTATTAATCTTTACAAGAATTTGCGAAATTATGCAAAGGGTGTCTATTTTATTATTTGAACAATTTATACTTGTAAAAAATGTATTCAAATTATTTAATGAATTCTAAATTCTCACCACTCACCATGAGAAAGGCAGCTATGAACGAAGGTAATGTTATAGTTTTCATTCTTGCTCTGCTTGTATTTGAAAATACCCAATACTACCTGCGGAAAGATAAAAACAAATTAAGAAAAGTTAAAAAAGTAATACATTCTTGTTTATTTCATTATATCTCTGATCACGTCACATGGAAAAAATCTCAAAATTTTCAGATTTTATATTACGCCCCAAAGGGATGTTTTTTCAACGTTTTGTGTGTTGCGTTTATTTATTAAATATCATGTTCTTCGCACTTAAAACATAAAATTGAGTTCAACAGCAATATCGCAAGTAATTTTAAAATGAGCCTATCTTTAGAATTTCCGATACACAATCTCGCGCGCTGGAGATAAAAAATCCCCTCCCCTGCGCACAGTGTTGCCATGTCTCGCTTTGAAATCGTTGAGTTTTTTAATCAAAAACTCATAAATGCTTTACAAAATATGAAATATATAATAAAACAAATTCGGGCTTCTAGATGCCCATATTCGGTGGAGGATTACGTTATTCAAAATTGGATGGCTGTAGGCATAGTTGTTTCATCACAATGCGAGAAACATTCATACATTGATGCAGAATCCTCATGATTTAATTTCGGCTAATCTTTAGAATATGGCAACAGGTAGTTTGGCGACATTTTGGTAAGGCGATAAAGGTTACTAGCTAGGACTTTAGCAATAATCTGAGAAGTACACAGTTCGAATCACAGATTATTTTGTCTCAGAGAAATGAGAGATCATGAGACATGTCATGTGACATTTTCCGGAAAATTCCTATCGTGGTTTTAGCTAATAAGCACTTAAAAAACAATTTCGCTGCTAAAGTGCAGAATCGTCCACTTATTTGTTTGGCGCTTTTTACAAGAGTAAGAAGAATTGGATTTTTGTCAATTTTCTTTGACTTTTTAAGTGAAATAGGTCGATGTGTACATGGCTAAAGTCAAGAGTGTGCGCAATGCCATTTTTGTGCAATTCTGGGATTTTTTTTAAGTAGGTCGACGTGTACATGGGTACCGTGTATGTGGAATTCTTAAAAACGCGGCAAGCAGTTTGCGATTCTGCACTTTCTCCCAATTTCGCACCTAATCTTCGTCATGATTAAGCATTTTTGTTCCATAAAAGCTCTAGTATAAGCGTAATTCGGCTAGCAGATTGTTGGAAGAAATGTTGAGTAAAAAAAAAAAAAAAAAAAAAAAAAAAAAAAAAAAAAAAAAAAAAAAACTTCATGAAAACAAAATGGCGTCCAAAACAAAACTAGCAGGTTGCTGTAGCAGGGCTGGTCGCCATATTTTCGCCAAAAATTCGCCAAGTTACCATAATGTAAAGATTTACCTTAATTTCTTTAAATATAATGCAGGGCGATAATATCTGGGGCGACAATTTGAAAAGTGTTTCAGACTTTTAAGTTTTCAATGCATAGTTTTTGATTTATTTCACATTCTGTACAAATTTTTCTTCAACAAACTCAGTAATTTGAAAGCTAGAAGTGGAAAATTGTTCGAGATAAAACTAAAAGTTTACTATTGAGATCAGTTAGTTTACTGGAATTGATAGTTTACTACTGAAATCAATTAGTGTAATTTTATAAAAATATTTCTAATTAGATATCTCATGGTTTAAATACACGTTTATTTATATAAATCACATTAAAATGTAGAAAAAATATTCTTAATTCTTGTGTTTATTGCTTTTAAATCGCTTAGTTTATTACTCAGTAACCTTCCAGATTCCACGCTGCGTTTAGAAACATCTCCAGCACTCCAGTCTGTTGCCATTTCGCAAAATGTAAGATATTTATTTTTTAATTTTAATCCACATAAATGGCTCGAAAGCACTCTCGACTCAGCACAGTCTAAGATAAAACTCGACGATGCACTAACTCGCGATACACTAAAAGACTCTTTCGATGCACTCGACGACCAACTCGGCGCTAGACTTCGAGACACTCGCTCAGTGATTTACTATCAGCTCGCTAGACGAGGCGCACACACTTAACTGACTGCGGACTAGCAGGGTTTATATAGCTTTCGGCTTGTGTTCGAGAACATTCTAGGTTAAACCGCTAAGATATCGTTCCAGAAGGTTCTCCATCCATCCATATGATATCGCCAATTTTGTCGCCAAATGGACGATTTCTCGCTGAATGTGGCAACCGTGCCTTACCTTGCCATTTTATGGCAACCCTAAAACTGCTTTGCGGGGAAGCTATCTTACTACGCCTGTATATTTAGTAACAGAATGTAAATGTGAGCTACATAATAAGATATAAATATATTATTTTATAATCTTTATTGTTAGGTAGGAATGTGTAATACATATCACATACATTATACACATGTATTTAACATCTAGTGTCATCCACTACAAGTTTAAAAAATGTGTTTAAACTTGAGTGAATGAAAAAAAAAGTATTGTATTAAGGATTGAAAATTTGAACAATATAGGGAGAGTGAGCTAATAGTAGGCATTTAAAAAGAAGGAATATTTCTATTTTAGCTTCAGAAATATTTGTATTTTGGCAATTTTCATAATAATTAGTAAAGTGAAGCTAATTGGCGGCTGAAAATTTACTTTAAAATTAAACATGTGAACATGACGCAGCAACATAATAGAGCCGAGTAAGTCAAGTAGCATAATTTGACTTTCGGTAATTTGACTTATTGAATTAATATGCATTCCCAATCTGAAAGCTTAAAGGAAGCATTAAACCTGCCGTGATGGTTAATAAAAGCTTCCGTAAACGTCAGTTTTATGATTATAGATGCGGGTAGTGGAAGACCTAGATTTAGAATCCGGAAGAAAGGCGTTGTTTTTGCTATTCGAAGGGTGAGAAATTATGCAACGCAATATTTCTTGCTAAACCATGCGGTATCACATATCACGTAACTTTGAATACGTGTTTTCTTAGTTTGGAAATTATAAAAGCCGTTGTTCAAGAACACTGACTTAAACAATGTTTTATATTAAAATTAAAAGGTAAAATATAATAAATGGTAACCTCGGAAAGGAAATAATAAAATTAAGCATAACGGTTTAAAATTACATTACAGAATATAGGTCAGAGACGATTTTTAAAATTATTAGTCCAAACGGGAAGTCCAGAAGGACTATTAATTTCATTTTGGCATTTTGCGTTGACTCACTACAAAGGTTGTTTCACTTTTCAAATTTTTGCCACCAAATATTATCACCCTGTATTACATTTAAAGAAAATAAATAATGAAGAATCTGCATAAATGTATGTATATTTCTCGCGTTGCGATAAAACATTGTTAACCTAGATACATCCAATTTTGAATAACGTAATCTTCCACCGAATATGGGCAACTGGAATTCCAAATTTGAAATGTGGAATTTGTTTTCTTATGTATTTCATATTTTGTAACACTTAACGAATTTTTTATTAAGAAACTTAAGGTTTTAAAAGCGAGCATGTGCACAGAAAACATTTTTATCTCCAGCGCGCAGGATTGTGTATCGGAAATTCTAAAAATATGCTCATTTTAAAATTATTTTGCGACATTGCTACTGAATTGAATTTTATAGTTTAAGTGCGAAGAACGTGATATTTGATAAATAAAGGTAACACACAAAATATAAAAAAACGCCCCTTTGGACGTAATTTAAAATCTGAAACTTTTCAGATTTTTTTTCTTCTTTTAGGTTTATCCCAGTCGAGGGTAAAATCAATTTAAAGTAAAAAAAAAAAAAAAAAAAAAAAAAAGAAAATCTGAAAACTTCAAATTTTATATTACGCCCTAAAGGGCGTTTTTTTATCGTTTGTGTTTACTTTATTTATTAAAATCATGTTCTTTACATTTAAACCATAAAATTCAATTCAACAGCAATGTCGCAAAATAATTTAATTAAGAGCATATATTTAGAATTTCCGATACACGGACTCGCGCGCTAAAGATAAAAAATGTTCTCCCCCTCGCTTTGAAATCGTTGAGTTTCTTAATCAAAAATTCTTTAATGTCTGACAAAATATGAAATAGATAATAAAACAAATTCCAAATTGAAAATTAGGGTTTCCTGATTCCCATATTCGCAAATGAATTACGTCATTCAAAACTGGATGACTCTAGGTAACGTTGTTTTATCAGAATGCGAAAAGCATAATTACATTTATGTAGATTCTTCTTTATTTTATTTCTTTAAATATGATACAGGGCGATAATATTAAGTCACAACAATTTGAAAAGTGAAACAGACATTTAAAGTTTTCAACCTAAAATGCCAAAACGAAATTAATAGCCCTTCTGGGCAAATTGCCTCTTTGATCTAAGAAAATAATTTAAGAAAAGTAAATTTACATAATCAATCTAATTTAAGAAAATCAGCTTTAATTTTTTTAATAAAATCTAATACTTCAGAATACCAGAATTTATTCATAGTGCACATGCAGGTAATATCATGGGATCAGAAACCGAAAGCAATCGGTGGTAAATTCTGTAAAATAGAATGTCTGTTTTCTCAAAAATTCCCATCGAAAGAAGAAGGCTTTTTAAAACCGAACACAATAACATTTATTTTGCATTGTTTACACAGATACGTAAAACATAATTTTAAATTTGTATGCTTAAAATCATCCCTCGAAATGATGGTGCCGTTTTTTTTTCATCGTTAAAATATTTCTGATACGTAGCCATTCTAACAAACACTTATTTCAAATTCAGAGTTATATAATATCAAGTAAATACTACTTTAATTATATATTTCTACCTTATCGAGGTCATTTGTTCAAAACTGTTCGAAAAGCACAGGTATTTTATCTGGTCGTAAGATTTTCGGTCATCTTGATAATGTTTGCATTCTTTTTTCCTTTGATTAAAATCTCATTAGAATTATTGACATATCTTTCTAATGAATAGAAGGTTACGGAAATAGATAGTAACGTAAGTTTTTATATGAATCTAGCTAATAAATTCTGCGCTTCAATTATAAGCAGACCAGAAAACTTTGCCGGTAAGAGAGATAAAACTCAATAAAATCGAGCTTACAATAAATAAATCCTTTACGAAGGGGGAAAACCGAACAAATCAGAAATGGAATTAAAATCAATC